TTACCACTGTGTGGCATCCCCCCTTCTTCTTACAACACTCAACAGACATCTGGGGACAGAGGAGTCCTACGTAACCATGATGTTGTGATTGCTGCAGAATGTGGTCTGGCATTATCGTGTTGAAAAATGCAGGGTCTTCCTTGAAAGAGATGACGTCTAGATGGGAGCATATGTTGTTCTAGAACCTGAACATAGTTCTCTGCATTAATGGTGCCTTTCCAGCCATTCAAGCTGCCAATGCCACAAGCGCTCATGCAACCCCATACCATCAGTGATGCGGGCTTCTGAACGGAGCGTTGATAACAACTTGGGCTATCCTTGTCCTCTCTGGTCCGGATGACATGGCGTCCCAGTGTTCCATAAAGAACTTCAAATCATGACTCATCTGACCACAGAACAGTCTTCCATTTTGCCACACTCCATTTTAAATGATCCCTGGCCCAGTGCAAACATCTGAGCTTGTGGAGCTTGCTTAGAAATGGCTTCCTCTTTGCACTGTAGAGTTTCAGCTGGCAACGGCGGATGGCACGGTGGATTGTGTTCACTGACAATGCTTTCTGGAAGTATTCCTGAGCCCATTCTGTTATTTCCTTGACTGTGGCATTCCTGTTTGAGGTGCAGTGACGTTTAAGGGCCCGGAGATCACGAGCATCCAGTAGAGTTTTACGGCCTTGACCCTTACGCACAGCGATTGTTCCAGATTCTCTGAATCTTTTGATGATGTTATGCACGGTTGATGATGATAACCTAAAAGTCTTTGCTATTTTACGCTGGGTAACACCATTCTGGTATTGCTGCACTATCTTTCTGCGCAACAATGGTGGAATTGGTGATCCTCTTACCATCTTGGCTTCTGAGAGACACTGACACTCTGAGAAGCTCTTTTTATACCCAATCATGTTGTCAATTGACTTAATTAGTGTTAATTGGTCTTCCAGATGTTCGTAATATGCTCAATTTCCTTTTTCCAGCTATTTATTGCTACTTGTCCCAACTTTTTTGGGATTTGTTGACACTGTGAAATTTTGAATCAACATATTTTCCTTTAAAATTTTACATTTACTCAGATTAAACTTTTGATCTGTCATCTATGTTATATTACGAATAAAATATTGACATTTGCCATCTCCACATCATTGCATTCACTTTTTATTCACAATTTGTTTAGTGTCCCAACTTTTTTGGAATCCGGTTTGTACATATTGGTAGACAAAATTGTTACACATATTCTGGCAATTACTGTTTTTGTTCCACAGTGAAAATCTTCTAGATGTTTCTTGTTTTGTTTCAGTTTGAACGTAAAAAAAAAAAAAAATCTGACATTCATTGGTGCATTCATCTGTGCTCGTCTTACTGTGATGTAGGAGTTGGCGAAGTGTGCCCAGCTGAACAGGTCCACCAGTCTGTACAAGCTGGCCAGTTTACAGCGCGTCAGCTTCTCGCCTTTCACCATGGTGGAGGATTCCACTCCGTACAAGTCGTTGATGGGAGTTACCATCCCCAGACCTTAAGGATCAGATCAGAGTTAAATAAAGGAAGGGGGTGAAGGAGACAATACATACTACAAAAGTTAAAAAAAAAACACTCAGGGCCAGACAGCTGTATCCAGCATCTGGATATTTTTTTCTAATGATATTGGATCTCTAGCTCTACGTTAGAATCCTACATTACATTTTGATTTAACATATTCAGCCCCTCCTCAGACGTCATTACTGCTATCTTTTAGGGAGGATTTGAAATAACCTGCTTTATAGTCTTTGACACCTAATTCTTCATTAGTTGTACATTCCACTGCGCTGATTGAAAGCAGACTTCACATGTGGGCTTCTGGACAGAACTCCAAGAGGATCAAAACCCGGAGAAATATTCACAGCTCTTCCGGAGTCTGGAGTTGAGACGTCTAACAGCATTAATACCCTCAAGCACACACAAAGCTCATGCTTGGATATGGATCCCTCCCTTCTAGTGTTTGCTCCGTGGGTTGGCGCAGCTTGTTCTGATGAATCTTTGTGTCTGGTTGCCCTGGGTCACAGACCGCGGCCCAACGAGCACTCACTGAGAGGGGACGTGTTGAAGCCGGCCACCGAGCTGGCCATGATGAAGTCTGCGATCTGCCTGAGGGCCAGAAGTCCAGTCGGGTTGTTCCCTTTTCTCTGCTGCTCCTGGATCAGACTTTCCAACTCTTCTTTGAAAGTCTGAGAGGAACAAAAAAACAAAGAGGGGAAGATTTAATTTTAAAAGCTGACAGAAGACATCAAAACTTCACCACTAAAGTGGAACTGCAACAAGATGTTTTAGATTAAAACACATCAGGATTTTCATGTTTTCTTTAGCAAATATTCTCATGACAAACTAAACTCCTTCAAGAACTGTGGGAGTTCTGCTCTGCCAGCTCCTGCTCCCACAGTCAGACTCGAATTAGCCACACCTGTGATCCTGTGACTTGATGAGCATGAGGAGTATAAGAGGCCTCAGATGACACTCATCCAGCGCTGGAGCATTACCTGCCAATGGTAGTCTTGTTCTAGCCTTCTACTTGTGGTCCAAGCTAAATATTAATGGTGCTTTTTTTCCATGTCTCCAGTGAGTTACCTTTGATGTCCTGTGTTCCTGAAATCTTCTCTGTGGGTCTCAAGCTCCTCTGTGTCTCATCAGCTACCTCCACGCCTTCCTACCACTTGCCTTTCACCTGCACCTCTTACACCTAGAACCATTTGGGTCTACTCTCCCCACATTGACCTCAACCACCAACATAAGAGAGAACTGCAACATCGTTATCGCCCTCGACATCATAGACTCTAACCTTCTCTCTGCTCCTCAGGGTTCCAGTCCCTCCCCTGGGTTATCACTTATACGTATCTCACCTTGAAAAATCAACACTGTACTGATTCTGCGTCTTGGTCTTTGTTTCCATTGATCCTTATATCTGGGTTTAGCTGCAATTGTCACAAGAACTTGAACTGGAAATAGGATATTTCCAATCAGGTGTAACACGGCTGAAACATTCAAGACTGTTTACTTATTGGAGTCGTTGAAAAGGGAAATAAAAAGTATTGATGAAAAAATGGTCAGAGCAGGCAAAAAAATTAAAAATGGAGAAGCAATGTTCAGAGTAGGCCTGTCGCAAAAAACAATAAATCAGTTAATTGCATGATAAATCAAAATGATCGACCTCATTTTCATTTATCGGCTTTATCGTTTCTTCGTGTCTCTCTCTTTCTACTGGACACTGGATGACAAAAAGCTCAACTCTGGTGCTCTTGACTGATCTGTCCCTTTCTATTTTCTCTTTAAAATCCATTTTAACCATCAAAAATCGCGTTTTTGGATCGTTAAAAGTAGCTAAGCTAAGAAGCTAAGCTATGAGCTAAGCTAACAGGCCGACCTCTGGGAAAACAAACCTCTGTCTTGTTGAAACTCAAAAATTCACAGTTGAAACCTGTGCCTTCGTGTAAAAAGTTTTTTTTTTTCTGCAAAAAGAAGCTGAGAACTTGTTTACTGATTTTTTTTATTAGAAGCGTTTGTGTGAAAAATGCTATGCTAAAGAGCTCAAACCACACAGAGCGTCCGCCGTTTTGAGAACTGAAGAGAGACAACCCATGTCACGTCAAGGGGCCTCCCTCCCATTTTTCTTAAAGAGACACGCTGCTCGCACCCTCACTATGCATCCTTCGGTTCAAACAGTCTTATACTGTTATCCGGTGGTCAAAAAAAGGTGCTACACACAAAACAAATTAACAAAGAATTCTTCTTAAATTTGACAACAATTACTAATTATTGTCAAATTTCAAACAATATTATCGTTTATCACAATAATTTCTGAGACAATTAATCACCCAGCAAAATTTCTTGTCGTGACAGACCTAGTTCTGAGTGGGACAAATGAAAAAGCGGCATGAAGGAGACGTGTTAATCGTAGGTTAGAAATCGTCTCTATGTCAATCGGACCCATCCAAAAAATATAGGATCAGGATTGGCTGACCACGCAAGATGTGTTGAGATAGGCTGTGACTGGCTGCTTGGTGTGACAGGGAAAGCGTTAGCATTTGTGGCTAATCCTCATGTTCAGATCCCTGAGAAAATATACAATAATGTCTTAGGCAACAGCACAAAAACACAGCTGGCTGAAAAAGGAATTACTTGGTTTTCATTTTGCTTTAAACCTGATGTTCCTCATAATGCAAGACATGCAGCAAAATCCTAACCACGGATTGCATTCTCAGAAAACATGGATTATGGCTGTAGATGCACACGAGTCAGTGATTCTGAAATATGTTTTCAACTGTGGATTCACAGATTCATTCAAACTCGAGCTGTAGTCAGTAACAACATCTAGAAGGTTTTAATCTATAGGCTCCAGAGGTCTTGTAGGAGCACATTGGCTATTTCTTAACGAATTATAAATTTTAAAGGCGCGACCAGTGCAGAGCATTTCCACTAAACCAACGTAAATTAAAAAAACGGAAATGTTTCTAATCAGACAGGAACAAAAACCTTTGATGACTGAAATGTGTTTTGAATTCACTTCTTAACTAATGTTTTCTTTAATAGCCAGCAAATAATACTAAATAGGTAGTAATAAAACATAAAACATACCGTGGGAACAACATGTGGAGAGTTTATCTTCCAGATGAAAGATTGATGATTTGACTTACAACCCTGCTGCATGTAGAAATATTTCTAAATTTTCTAATTAGTGTGTTGTGTTAATAGAAATAAACAAAACTGTTCTTATATATTTACAGGAGAGCTTTTGTGAATCCACATCTTATTGATGTGGACGATCTATAGGCGTCTTCGTAATGGAGACATTTTGCGCTCCAAAATGGATTTAAGTCTGAAACTGGGCCCTTTTTTTCTATATAAATGTGTGTGTGTGT